TAGGCACTGAATATATAAGGAACGGCGCTGCATGGAGAAGTCAGTCAAGCTTTGGTACTCGCGACGAAATAAATAAATATACGTGCAAATAAATAGACTCTTGTACAGTAGTGATATATAAATAATTAGTAGTTAAGTGTTTAGTTAGTTTTATAGTTTCTTAATGTTTTAAGTGTAATTAAGTTATAAAATAAATAGTTTAGTTCGTTAATAAACCAGTGCGTGTTTTAATTCACACTGCGAACAGTAAAAACGTTACATTATTATAAAACTTACCTCCTATTCTATTTATTGGTTGTATATATTTTCCTTATTCAAAATAAAATTTACCTTAAGGTAAGTATTGTATAAATAACTGTTTTGCTTATAGTATAGTTTTCTTATTTTAAGTAAAAAAATTATAAAAATGTACCTACGTACCTTGTTTTTGCACTAACCCGACGATATATACCTTCATATCTAAATAAAATAAATTAAAATTCTTAAAAACTTAAACAAATAATTCTTAAAAACTTAAACATAATATGACAATTGCATGGTCCAAGTCTAAAACTCTAAAAAAATCAACAAAAAATAGTTTAAAATTAAATGTTTTTTTGAACTCGTTCTTGTTGTAGCCTTCTATCTGACGCCCTTCGTAACCACATTTGGACAGCAGACTCGGATGATTTTCAGAAAGCCCAGCCGTTTCGGTAGATCCTGAAAAACAAAATAAATATTTGTCACCTTTTATATTACAGAGAATGTTACACAGAGTCATATGTATATGTATGGATAAGTAAGCCGGGACTAATTCCTGTTTACCGTTGGAAAGAGCGGAAGATTGTAATTAAAAAACATATGCAATGTCATTTTAAAAAAGTTAACTTTATAAAGTGGCTCTGGGGTAGGTACAGATCGTCACCCTAATATAACAAGGTTGTATGTTAAAAAAAAACGAAAAATTTAAGTCTATGTTTCTACAGGATTATACGTGGCCTACGCTTCACATACCACTTAAAAATAATTCTATAGAATGTATATATATATATATATATATATATATATATATAGAGTTATTTTCAAGTTGTATGTCAAGGGTGGATTACATAAAACCTTGTAGAAGCATAAACTCAAATTTTTCGTTTTTTAACATACAAGTATGATACAACCTTGTTATATTAGGGTGACGAGATATTGATTCTGCAAAAGTTTTAAAAAGGTTATTTTTTATCTTACTTACTTAGCACCAGTTTGGCCATACTCGTGTCCTTAAATTTTCTGTTTCCTTTTTACCCCTGCCAACTATATTTCAATGCTACATTATTTGACAAAAGCAACTGCAGGTGTTACTTCCCCCAATTTTAGAAAGTTCTTGAGTTTACAAAAAAATACAAGGTCTAGGTCCTACAATCTAGAAGCACAAACATTACACGAACACATATAACAAACATACGAACACAAAACGACGCTACCACTCTGTGGTGCTATCCAGTGTTGCCAGGCTGGTTTTATTGAAGGTAACAACTTCGTCTTTAAAAAGGTAACAGATTTAGAAAAAAGGTAACTGTTAGCTTCATCTATTTTCAGTAAATAGACCTATCCCATAAAACGGACTTTTGGATAGCGCGTGCGTGAAAAGGCACGTCGTCTTTTTTTAATTATATAAAATAGAAAGAGATCCCACTCTTCTTCAGGCACGCGCTATCCAAAAGTCTGTTTTATGGGATAGGTCTGTTGTATTAACTACATTTTGGGTCATTGAATATAAATAAACTTTTTATTCAATGTTTTGGATAGGTCATTTATTGGAAACTGTTTACCTGATTTAAAACTAAAACATTTGAGCCTGATTTATAGATTGCTTTTTTTCCTTCTTTCCTCCCGTCAAAGAAGAACAATACGAAAATCGTAGTGCCATTTATAGATTCCCGTATTTGAATCTATAAACAGCACAACGGTTTTTGTATTGTTCATCTTTTGCGTAAGGAAGGGAGGAAAGAAGGTAGTCAATCTATAACTCAGGCTTCAGCCTAAAAGCAACAAATTTTTATGATTTTATTGTTGGTGTTTAGTTTAATAATAACAGGTGTGTTTCCTACATCATTGTAATAAAAAATCAAACTACAAAACAATTTATTAATATAATAGGTACCTATATTATAACAAAACGAAATCTCTTTTAGTTCCAGTTATTGTAATCCATTTGCTTCACAAAAGAATCTCACCTACTTACGTTATGATTACCAGAGGAACAGGATAATGAAAATATTTACAAAAAAAATTGGAAACTAATTACATATTCTTTTATTTTTAGGGTTATTTTTAAAAATATTAATTTTGTTTGGTTCCAGTGAACAAAAGGTAACAGATTTTTTAAAAAGGTAAAAAGGTAATAACATTTCATAAAAGGTAACAGATCTGTTACAATTGTAATAGACTGGCAACACTGGTGCTATACTCGAGCGCTCGACTTTGATTCATTTGCGAATGGTTTTAAAAAATGGTATCCTCGACAAATCTTCGCGATTGAAAAAAATTAAAATTGACAAAATTAAAGTAGTGGTTCATCCGGCAACACCGCATGTGTTAGTTTATTTACGTTTAATGTAGTGGTAGTTACCAGCTTTGACAATGTCAAAGCTTGTATCTGAATGTCAAATTGACATTCTCATGGACATTGTGTTTGTGTTTATATTGTTTGACATAGAAATATAATTTATACAAGTGCAAAGGCCGTCTACAACTGTGGTATTTGTATGTAACATGATGAATATATCCATATTATTAATATATTTAAAAAAATATATACCACTGAGAAGCAAAAGAAAACTTTAATTAAATTAATTTAAAAAAATAAAGCATTGCAAGTGAAAAATTTGTAACTAATTTTACGTACAAGGGCGCCCAGAGGGAATAGGAGAAAATTGTTTGTACATCTAAATCTGTGACATGATGGGCATGAGATACATAAGTCATTTTCCAAAAGATTTATAAGAAACATTGCCAATTATTTTGAGAGACGAAAAAGTCTAACGAAAAGTTTATCGGATAAATCGTTAACTATACATATATATATATATATATATATATATATATATATATATATATATATAGCATAAACAAAAAATAATATTTTTTTTCAAGCGGCCATGATATACAATTGTAAGATTAATCTTATATCATATAAGTTATATGCCTGTATAGAGATAGTTGAAGTGCGTCTTTTTCATTAGCGGCAGACAAAAAACTCAAAAAAGCCTAGGGATAGAAGTAAATTCATAGGTGTCTCAATAGACGTCAAATAATAAAATTAATTTAGCATTTCATACAAAGCAATCACGATGTATTAATTATATTAATTATAATCGCACGGAATATTTAGTGATTATTTATTAAATTTTAATTGAACGAAATAAAGAACAACTAGTTTATTACTAAAATATTATGATGATAGACGAGTCGCCAATGTCGAAACTCCAAACAAATGTCAGTACGTCAAAATTAATTCAAGCGCAGCATTTTGACAGCAGTGTTTATTTTTAGTTTAGGATATTTATCGGCATTGCAAGTAAGGGTTATAAGTTTTTTTTAGTTTTTATCAATAATTTCTAATGCTTTTAGCCAAAATTTTATACCACATGAGTTATGAGTAAATAAAATAATTCTATTGCTTATCCTATTTATACTACGCCCTTGAAAAAAAAATTGTATATGTTATTTGGAGTAGAAGCTCTTTTTGTGCTTCGTACAGTTGCCTGCCTCAGCTACGCTTCGGCCGTCAATCTCTGTACTCACCACAAAAAGAGTCACTTCTACTCCTTATGACATAATCTACTATTTTTTTCAAGCGGCCATGTTATACAACCTTATATGCATGTATAGAGATAGTTGAAGTGCGTCTTTTTCATTAGCGGCAGACAAAAAACTCAAAAAAGCCTAGGGATAGAAGTAAATCCATAGGTGACTCAATAGACGTCAAATAATAAAATTAATTTAGCATTTCATACTAAGCAATCACGATGTATTAATTATATTAATTATAATCGCACGGAATATTTAGTGATTATTTATTAAATTTTAATTGAACGAAATAAAGAACAACTAGTTTATTAGTATAATATTATGATGATAGACGAGTCGCCAATGTCGGAATTTCAAACAAATGTCAGTACGTCAAAATTAATTCAAGCGCAGCATTTTGACAGAGCTGTGTTTATTTTTAGTTTAGGATATTTATCGGCATTGTAAGTAAGGGTTATAAGTTTTTTTTAGTTTTTATCAATAATTTCTAATGCTTTTAGCCAAAATTTTATCCCACATGATTTAATTGAAGAGCTGCAGTGCGTGTAATTGTACATTTAATGTAAATTTTGCTTATTATATTTATATTACGCCCTTGAAAAAAAAATAGTATATGTTATTTGGAGTAGAAGCTCTTTTTGTGCTTCGTACAGTTGCCTGTCTCAGCTACGCTTCGGCCGTCAATCTCTGTACTCACCACAAAAAGAGTCACTTCTACTCCTTATGACATAATCTACTATTGTCATAGAAAACCATCGAAAAATAATGCGACATTTGAAAACGAATGCCTAATTCCGCTCGCAGAAAACCACTCGCAATTGGTGCGTATACGTACCGAGTGTGAGCGGTCAAAAATACGAAATACACGTCTCGAATGCAATGTCGTATAGGTACGTTAATAAAAGTCGAGCGCTCGAGGATGAGTGTATTGAAAGCGGCGAATCGCGCTCGAGCGACGTTGTTATGAACGACAACTTTGTGTAAATATTCCACACCAAATTAATATGTGTGAAAAGGTTTGTCTAACACAAACACTCAAATGTCACCTAGAGTGTAATAAATGAACGTACCCTTGCACCTTAAGTGCGCTAGCGCAACAAAATGATCCAGAAAAACACTAAAAAACTAAACAAAATGTTTTTTTATAATGAAATTAACGTTATTTTTCAATAAAAATTTAAAAAACGTCATAATACCAATTGTCCAAAACTATTTAAATTCTGACAAAAATTACAACGGAAATGTCAGTCTGACGAATTTCCGGCATTTGACAGTTCGAGGTTGACAGTCAAGTACGTTAGTGTTTTAAATTTGTTTATGTGGTAAACAAGTTTAGGTTTTAGTATTTTTTCTTTTCAAAATAACATTTTTAAACATGGATAAGCCACGCGACAAGATGTACCGGCGAAAAGGTAAGAAAACAGGTTCCTATAGGATGCCAGGGGCATGCGCAATACGACATTTTACCACTGCGCATCCCCACTGACATTCTTTTATAAAAAAATGTGACATTTACAGATAGTTTGACAAAAATATCAAAAAACGGCCCAGACAGCGGCAGAAAAGACGTCCCGAGACCGCGGAACAGGAGCGTATTTACAAATTCGCATGTCGGCGATGATTTCCCGCCCAGGGACGTAATTAAATACGAGGGGCTTCACCAATGGGCCCCCTACGTCCCCAAACCCATTACTGTCAAAAATTACTACGCAGATGATTTAGCTGTAAGTAAAATAGTTATTTACATCAGTGGTCTAATATCAAACCGTATCAAATCTCCATTTGAGTAACATTTTTAGGAATTAAAAATACGCTATTCCCTTTAAAAAGTTGTATTTAGAAAATATATGGGCAATAATATAAGGTAATCTAAGAAAATGTGTTAACTGAAGTACCTATTATAATTGTTATGGATTGATAAAATTCAAATTTAAACTTATAAAATTGTATGTATTATTGACTAATAAGTACTATATTTAATTAAATAGTAAGGGACTCCGATGACTAAAAGGAATTAAATATAAATGTACGTCGTTCTGTTACATTTACGTTGTATTTTTTACCACAACTATGCACCTTTTACCATTTTAGGTAGGTAGGTAGTTTTTGTGAAAAAAACGGCTCAAAGCAATACCAATCACCAAAAAACTGTCAAAACACATTTTTTGATCAGTGGGTCATGTTCTACAACATACGTAAAATTTAGCTAGATCCACCGGGACCTAATATCCAATAGGATTATTGTAGGGTCCTTTTAAAGTAAGAATTCTTCTTATAAAATGGGACAATTTGTATTTTTTTAAACTATGATATGAACACTTTTTATTTGAAAAACATAAATTAAAAATCATGAAAAACCAGTAAAATAAACGTATTTTCAGTGTTATTTTTCAGGGAAATGAGATGTTTTTTTAAAGAATCTACTATATTTTAGCTTTAAAATCTACAGCTAAAAACGTAAAGTATAAAAGTATTATTTATTTTGTGCCTACCAAAACTGGAACTGGAATAAAAATTAAATAACAGCAGATTTTCCTCTTTTGAATCTCAAAGAACATTCCCACGTACGCAAAACCTACCTAAACATCGGCTGGCTTTGCCGATGATTTCATATTTTCATGAAATTAAGGTATTAAGGTAAAACTTTTCACGCAGTAGATAAAGGAATGTTTTTCCTTATTAATTATACCTAGTAATGATAAGTGATTTTGTGTTTATATCGGTTTTCACGCGTATTTTGCATTTATAGATAAAAAAGGTTGAGTAACAAATTTGTAGAGAATTTAATTCTCTTCAATTTGAATTTAGTTAATAGGTACTGTTAAAAACATATTTATTGTTAATATTAAGCAAAAAGTCTAGCGCAGTTTTGTCAACGTTTGGACCATTTTTATTGTAAATAGGTGACACATTTAAATGGCAGAGTTGTAGATAGGGTTAGGACAGTTAAAATTTTCAAATGAAAATTTCAACTTTGAAAGTTTTACTTGAAATATTTCATTTAGTTGGAAAAGTGAAATTTTTAAAAATTTCAAATGAAATTTTCAATCCGAAAATTTCAACATTGCTTGTGAAAGTTTCAGAAATTCCATTGAAAGTTTCGCAATTTACTGAAAATTTCTCATAAATTTCACATGCGGCCTCCCCTCACAGTGGTCCTCGACTAGCCGTGGCCACGCGTGGGTTGTATGAAAATGGCGCCAAAAAATAGGCTCAGATATTAGTAGGCATGTATATCAAGGTTACAAAAACGCTGCAAGTCAAATCATAGCTGTTCATCAAAATATGTTTTTGTGGTAATTTTATTTATGTTCACATTTAACCATAATTGGAGGTCACAAAAGTTTACATATAGGTTCATTGATAAGTTGGCACTAAAATATTTGATTAACTTGTCAGTTGTCAGCCTAGGTTTGGTCTGGGGCGAGGGGTAAACCGCTTTATTGAAAGTTTCAATAAATTTCATAAATTTCAGAAATTTAGGAAATTTTAATAAATTTCATAAATGTCATGAAAATTTCAAGTGAAATTTCAAGTACAAGCAAAAAGTGAAATTTTCCCAACCCTAGTTGTAGAGGACTCGCGTCTACAGATCTCGGCCGGGACTGCCCTAAACACTTTTTGTTTAATAGCAATAAATATTTTTTTAATAATATTGACAAAAAATTTGTTTTTAACAACATTAGGTGCTTTCCAATTGACTGTTTTAAGCACGCATGCAGCCTCTGCGCGCACCGGGTTTTAAACACCAAGAGTAATGGAACGCAAACTTAAATCTAGAGTTGGGAACCGAAATCGTTTTTTTGGTGAACCGGTTTTCGGTTAACCGAATACAATGAACAAACCCATGACAGCATCTGTAATAAGGGTGATACGTTAAATTTAAGTAAATTCCTAAAAATATTGTTTTCGTCTTGATAGTTTTTTCACCTTACATTTATAATTTTTTTGATTATTTTACGAAATTGTTTAAACCAGATTTTCTCCTAGTTGGGGTTGGGTTGGGACTGTTTTAAGCACGCAATGCAGCTTCTGTGAGCACCGGGTTTTAAACACCAAGAGTAATGGAACGCAAATCTAGTGTTGGGAATCGAAATCGTTTTTTGACAGCATCTGAAATAAGGGTGACACGTCAAATTTAAGTAAATTCCTAAAAATTTTGTTTTCGTCTTGATAGTTTTTTCACCTTACATTTATAATTTTTTTATTATTATTTTACTACATTGTTTAAACCAGATTTTCTCCTAGTTAGGGTTTTCCGGGCAAACTTTATCCGAGAGTACAATTCCGCTGGCCCTTAGAAATAGTTTATAATTGAAATAATAAAAAGTAAGTTAAGGCCCCTCCCGGAATCTTGTCACCGGGCGTATGGCCCCGATTTAGGATAGTGGAGTGCGGGACAAGGGAAAACATTTTGGTTTAGACATTAAACTGACCCAAAATTAAGTACCGCCCTCGGTGGTGTAGTAGTCAGGGTTCCGGAAGTTGGTACAATGGTCCAGTCATTTTCCGCATAAGGTTTGAAAATTTTTGTGGGTGCCGATGTGTTCCTATCGGTCGCAGTCGATTTGTTAAAAGCGGATCGTCTGTGCGAGGGTGACGTGGAACGTCTAAAATCCCGGGATTTAGTAGCACCCACATTCAATTGGGGCTTGGTTGGTTAATATGCTGGGGGGCCTATCGTGTTTCTTGTGTTACTTCTTGTCTGTGCGTCTGTGTCACTCCTGAAATTATGCTAAAAAATCGGTAACCGCTTTAGAATTGTTTGCCCCCTGTCAGGGCCGGCCCGAGGTACGGGCGAACCGGGCAACGGCCCAGAGCGGCAAAATGGGGGGGCGGCATTTTTACGATGTTATAATCACATTTATTTTTTCGATTGGCGATTTTTTCAAGAATTACGCTCGAAAAGTGCAGTTTAGATAATTTAATATCTTTGTTAGTAGAGGCGCTCTCGGAAGACGACCCTGGCTCCCTATATTTCATTCGTATCTTCAATCATATCCTGTAGTTTTCTATGCTTTTTGACAATTAATAATTGACAAAAATTATATCACGATCGTGCGTTGTAAAATCAGTGCATTCCACGACCTCCTAGGAAAGAATTACGAGCCAGGGTGAAAATTCGGATCCATCAACACAGGTAATACTGTGCAGTAGGGTGATGCAAAAAAAAATTTTTTTTGAATTCTATGCGAGACCACTCGGGTTTTCAAAGAGTATCAAGAAAATAAAAATCTGTAAAAATTTGAGAGAAATCAATTAAAATTTAGAGGTCGCTCAACGCAATTGTTTAATTTAGAAAAATCACGCATCTCAAATGCATTGCTATAAACAAGTAGGCATATTTCATACAAATTTGAATGAAAATGGTTGAATTTTTTTTTGGTGGACTCTTAATGATTATTCTAATAAATAATGTTGTCCCGATTTCAAAAATTTTTTCATAATATTTAAAAAATATATATTAATTAGCAAATATAGCTTAGTTAACAAATAATTCATTTAATTTTTTTTTTGTTTCAAAATCTGTAAAAACATTGTTAATAGGTCTACAAGCAATTATTCATTCACAAAAACACTCGCCCCCATCGTTAAATATGAGAAAAAAAATAATATTTTAATTAACTACACTTCGCGTCAAATTTAACGCACCACTAAAAGTTTGTCACATTTTCAAAGTTGATTTTCTCGCGAACCGTCAAACCGAATTTAGTGATTTTTATAATAAATTGTAGGTTTATTCTTCGGTAATAATGCGTTTATTAAAATATTTTTTAAATTAACATTTTGAGTATATACAGGGTGCAAGAGTGATAATAGGTTTTTTCCCGGAAATTTAAAACGCCCTGTGGATTGTACCAGCTATAACAGCATATGTATCTTATAATCAAACTATAGCCACATCTTCTCTTAACATTTTGTTTTTTGATTCACCGCGTTATCTTTATTTTTAAATGAAATATACAGTTAAAGATTAAAGAACTCCAGTTTAATACAAAAATGTAAAAAGAACGATTGTAACAATAACAACAAAAATATTAACAAAATCAATAAAACCAACATTAAAGAATATCAATATCGCGTATTTCTGCCTCTACTTCTAATTACGGCTTCACATCGATGGCTCACACTCGAAACCAGATGTCTAATCTCGTCTTGATCAATGACATTTCATATTTCTCGTAGCATATTTGCTACGTCATCAAGGGAGGCAGGCAAGGGATCATGATTTCTTAGTCGTCTACCCATATTATCCCACAAATGCTCGATGGTGTTGAGATCCGGACTATTTGCAGGCCAGTCTAAAGTTTTAACACCCACCGCATGTAAGTACTCTTGCACTATATAGCATTATCCTCCATCAGTAAAAAATTATTACCGGGCGAAAGGGACAACATGCTCAAATAAAATGTCCTCGATATATCGTACACTATTCATGGTACCTTAATCTTTAATCTTTAAATGTATATTTCATTTAAAAATAAAGATAACCCGGTGAATAAAAATACAAAATGTTAATAGAACATAGGGCTATAGTTTGATAGTAAGAGACATATGCTGTTATAGCTGGTACAACCAACAGGGCGTTTCAAATTTCTGGAAAAAAACTAATTATTACACTTGCACCCTATATATACTCAAAATGTTAATTTAAAAAAATATTTTAATAAACGCATTATTACCGAAGAATAAACCTACAATTTATTATAAAAATCACTAAATTCGGTTTGACGGTTATATATGTATATACTTAAAACTTAAATTTAAAAGAATTTTTTAATAAAGGCATCATAACCAAAGAGTAAACCTCAATTTTAAAACAAAAATTACCAAATTCGGTTTGACGGTTCGCGAGAAAATCAACTTTGAAAATGTGACAAACTTTTAGGGGTGCGTTAAATTTGACGCGAAGTGTAGTTAATTAAAATATTATTTTTTTTTCTCATATTTAACGATGGGGGCGAGTGTTTTTGTGAATGAATAATTGCTTGTAGACATATTAACAATGTTTTTACAAATTTTGAAACAAAAACAAAATTTAATGAATTATTTGTTAACTAAGCTATATTTGCTAATAATTAATTATTAATATATATTTTTTAAATATTATGAACAATTTTTTAAAATCGGGACATCATTATTTATTAGAATAATCATTAAGAGTCCACCAAAAAAAAATTCAACCATTTTCATTCAAATTTGTATGAAATATGCCTACTTGTTTAGAGCAATGCATTTGAGATGCGTGATTTTTCTAAATTAAACAATTGCGTTGAGCGACCTCTAAATTTTAATTGATTTCTCTCAAATTTGTACAGATTTTTATTTTCTTGATACTCTTTGAAAACCCGAGTGGTCTTGCATAGAATTCAAAAAATTTTTTTTTTGCATCACCCTACTGTGCAGTTGCGGGTTACGTAGGAAAACTGAAAGGGGGTAAAATAACCCTGGGAGATCAGTGTAAGGCGATGCCGATGGCACATCGGCGATGGGGCCAGCCAAAGTGTTACAGAATAAATTATTCTATCACCGGATGACGGAATACACTCTGATTGCGACATATTTGTGTTTATTATCTAACAACTTTTAGACCGATCCAACCTCACTTTTTCCCAATTAAATTATTATTCTATGGTATTTTTTGGAAAAGTAGAAAAAGTATAGTCTGAAACACATTTGGAATTGCATATTTCGCTCTCGTAAAACCGTCAAATTCGCCTTCAGCTCGTGTGAAAAACTTTTCACACAGCGGAATATGCCGTATTCCAAACTTGTTACAGAATATACTATTCTTCCATGAGTCAAGCCACGTCAAGTGGGACCAGAAAATTTCACGAAATCACCGATTTTAAAAATAATCACATTATTGTGTAGTAGGCATGACTCATATATCACAGTAAAAAGAATTTTTAAAAATTCGTTTTTTGGTAATGTTATTAAAGTTTATAAATTTGTCAAACTTTAGAGCACAGTAAAATTGAACAAATAGAATCTCTGGGACCACTTTGTATAATTGAATTAAATTTTACACACAATTGTAAAAATGTTTATACTATTGAATTTAATTAAGGTAAATTTGTTTAAATAAAATAATTTTGAATACATTTATTATAAACAATTGAAATTTTGTATGTGTTCTTCACGCTCAAAAAAAATTAATCTTGTGTCATAATATGCGGCAAACGTTCCCGTTTAATAAAATGTACTCAAAAATTTGTCCTTCATATGTCATTCCCGAGATATTAAATTGTTTGTACCGCTGTGCACATGCGCATGCGCTTGATCAGTACGCAGCGCGCTTCGCTGCTAACTCGTCAGCACAGCTTTCCGTTAACTACGGTTAAATGTCCTTCCTTGACAACTTTGTTTTTTTTCTTCACTGTGTTAAAAATGAAGAAATTTCATTTTTTTTTAATAACTTTTTTATTTTAAAACTTTTCGATTTGAAGTTTGGACAAAATGTAGATCTTACTAATGACAATTAATCCACGAAAAAATGTTGTTTAGATTTTAACGTACAGGGGGCGCTGGTGATAATAAAATTTAACAATTTTTAAATAAAGTAAGTAAAGTAAATATTCGAAAAAGCAACTTTATTTTATAAATTTGAGTATAACACGTTGAAGTATTGATATTTGACTATTATTTGATACATTAACTTTTTTATGCAAATGATGTTTCTGTTGCCAGGATCAGTTTTGAATTAGCAGTAGCAGTATTCATAAATGTTATAAAGTTTAGTACATTTTGTCATTTTTATAGCATAACACATAAATGACATTTAATATACAGGGTGTTTCAAGTACGTAGTCCGTTAGAAGTTTTTAGGGACTTAAAATTTTAATAGCGTAAATTATTCGATTTAGACTTTTTTCCTAAATTACATATTTTGAACAAAATAATACTTTCTGTTTTACCGGAAATGTATTTAACTTTGTTATTTTAGACAGGACACCTCTTATATTTTTACATTTTTTAATTCTACATCAAATTCTGAGTAAACTGGATATACCATATCTTATACCTAAAGTCAATATTTTTCGAGTTATTAATTTTTCAAGAAATATTTTAATTATTTTAAAACAATCACAAATTAAGTGGTAACCATGGATACTGTCACATTAACCCACATTTAGAATTAAACGGGTTTTTTGATACAAAATAGTATTGAAAATATTAGAAATTGTTAAATGTCTCTGAAATTTTAACTTTAGGAAACATTTATTATAATACCAATCGAAAGATTCTTTAATTTTTTATTTGATTATGTTATAAAACATACAGGGTTTTACATTTATAATAAAAACGTTATTATTGTTTAAAGTTGCCTAATTTCAAATGGTTTTTCTCAAGGTATTTGTTGAAAAACCTTTAAAAAATTATATTATTAAAACAATAATTTAATATTTCAAAAATTTCAACCCTATGAATTACATAATTAAATATATGTATATAATAAATAAAATTAATATCATAAAAACTATTGACTTAAGATATAGTCTAAATCAAATTGTATACGCTATTAAAATTTCAAATCCATATCGTTTGCGTTTCTCCAGAAACACCCTGTATAGCATTATATTAAATATAAAAAAATGCAAAATAACTAACGATTTTTCGATTTTTTAACCCTTAAAAAATTGTTAAATTTTAAATTAAATCTAAAAAAATACGTGGATTTTTGCCAATTTCAAATTGATACGTTTTTTAATAAAAATGTTATTACAAAACATCGAAATTTATCTATTTTTAACACAGTAGAGTGACTTAAGGCCTGAAAACCTGAAAAGCTGAAAACCACAGCGGTCAATGGATACAATTTTTTTTAAATGCACCATTTAAATGTAGAAACAAGGTTAAAAAAATGTATTCAATTCTGGCATCACTTGCAAACAAATCGTCGTTTATCTGACAAAGAGGCGTAACTCAAAAAAATTCGTTTTTGAGTTATACCAGAATGATCACCAAAATCGACTTTATAATCTCACAAACTGGCGTAGCTCTATAATAAATAGGTACAAATAAAGTTTTAACATAAAGCAGTTTCGGCGTAACTAATATTTTTGCATTTTGTGTGCCGTACAAACTGGCGTAATTCAATTCACACCGTTTTGTTTAAAAATGAGATACGCCTCTTTGTCAGATAAACGACGAAATGTCCAAAATTTGTTCGATTTTTACGCGAAACCTTAGTTAAAACGTTAGAACGGACGAGCTAGCAACGAAGCGCGCCGCGTACTGATCAAGCGCACAGCGGGACAAAAAATTTAATATCTCCGGAATGACATATGAAAGACAAATTTTTGAGTATATTTTATTAAACGGAAACGTTTGCCGCATATTATGACACAAGACTATTTTTTTTCAGCGTGAAGAACACATAAAAAATTTCAATTGTTTATAATAAATGTATGCAAAATTATTTTATTTAAATAAATTTACCTTTATTAAATGATCATTCTATAGTCGAAACATTGCTACAATAGTGTGTAAAATTTAATTCAATTATACAGGGTGGTCCCAGAGATTCTATTTTTTCAATTTTACTGAGCTATTAAGTTTTACAAAATTATTAACTTCAATAACATTAACAAAAAACCGAATTTTAAAACAAATTTTTTACTGTGACCTATGCGTCATGCCTACTACACAATAATGTGATTATTTTTAAAATCGGTGATTTCGTGAAATTTTCTGGTCCCACTTGACGTGGCTTGACTCCCATCGAATGTTTTTTTTTACAATTTTCATCTAAAAAATTGTGTATGGTTTTCAAAAAGAGTGTTAATGGCAGGCAGCTGCCTCTCGTATTATATCATTTTTCCAATCATATATAATGATAAAAGAGTGCATATTTGAACCGATTTTCAAACTTTTAACTCGAATTTTACTTGCCTTGAAATTTGAACTAATTTTAGAATCGTTTTAAGGGCGAGGTTTATGGGGAAGACCACTATGGAGGGGGGACTACCATAACCCCCCATGGGGTTATATCTTTGCGACTACACGACCGCATAAGGGTCGACATTTCTTTGGAAAGAGCCATACGAATTGTAAATTTAAAAAACAGCATCATTTTGGCTCTAAACGCTAGCGGAAGCAGTTCGGCCCTTTTGCATCCAAACGGGAGAGTTTTCCAGTATGGAAGCAGGGTTGAAATATTGGCCCATGATAGCCAGGGAAACAATAAGTAAGTAAAATAAGCACAAAAAATAAAGGGTTTAGCAATAATCTCGGCAAAACTTCAAAAGTGCACAGTATGTCCGGGTTATAATCCCGTGGACATACTTGTATATAAAGAGGAAGAAAATTATTACATTTCTCAATAAATTTAATAATTGATTGTTTGATTTCAAACCTCCAGAATATGCGACACATTATTTTTATTGTCGATGGTTAATTTACAATTTTAATTTTTATGAAAATTATGGACTGAAATAGCTATTTACATACCATGGGAGGAAAATATTGCATTTCCTCCCGCGAATAGTTTGATGCCCGACGCGAAGCGAAGGGCATTAAATATTCAAGGGAGGAAATGCATTTTCCTCCTGAGGTATGTATATAGTTTTTTCTATTACCTTTTAACGGTTTTAAGACATTTTAAGCGTTCCGGTTCCTTTTACTTACCCGGTATGGGGCTATAAAATTATGACAAAATATTAAGTAGGTTTTGCGTCGCCGACGTTATGTTGACAACGCTTTGTTGCTATGGTATTTTTGGTAATACCAACATAACAGTTTTTATAAGCTGTCATAATGTTTATGATAAATTTAATAGTTGCAATTAATTTCCTTCTTTAAAAATCTAAAATAGTGAATATGAATATAGTTTGTTAAAAGAATGTTAAAAGAATGGTTGGACAAGCGAGGAGTAAATCTTTTTCCTACAAAATCAAATAAAGCTAGACAAGGTACAAAAACTCTTGCCAATATAAAAATTTAAAAAAAAAGAGGGAGGAAATTTTTGTTCATTCGTCATTTCTCAAAAGTAATCGTTTCTATCGCCAAAAATACATTTTTCATCGCTGATTTATGAATTTTTATACTATTTCATAATTAAAAATTAATGATCATTTATTTTTAATTATGAAAAAGTCGACATCCGTGAAGATTTCTACCTAAGGTGATAATAACATTGATTTGTTGAAAAGATAATGGCAAATTAACGAAAACTGAACAAAAATGATTTTTATCAAAAAAAATTTACTTCAAAAACAAAAATCAAAATATGTCGCATATTCTGGGGGATATAAATCAATCAAAAACTTTTATCAAGAATGACATTTTTTGAGAAATGTAAAATACATTTTTTCCACTTTTCCGTGAACATACTTTACAAGGGCGTTTTTTAATTTTGAAAAGTGGCTTTCACACTGTCTTTTATTTTGAAAAGGGGTCATCCATTAATTACGTGGGGCAATTTTGGCGATTTTTCGACTCATCCCCTCCCCTTGCAAGGCCTTGGTGAGATGTCGTGAGATTTTGCTCGACCCCTCCCCCCTTCCTTAATCTCACCTCAGATTTTTTTAAATGCATGGTTTTAATGTAATTAAGTTAATCTATGCTTGATTCCATTATATTTATTAAAAAAAAACAATTATATGATTATAATTGTTTACTTAATTTAACCCAGTTTTCTCGCAATTTTACACTGTTTCATTCGAAAAGCAAAAATTACGTGATATTTGACGAGACCACCCTCCCCCCACCTGAGATTGGGTGAGGTTTGGCTCGACCCCCTCCCCCCTAAACACCTTACGTAATTAATGGATGCCCCCAAATGTAATAATATAGGTAATTCCCTTGTTTTTTTATTTGTCTGTTAACGAAGCCATTAAGCCAAAAATACGCCTTATGCACGATCATAACCTTTACTTTTTGAGGTTTAAAAATATTTTGTTAACTCTCACAAACTGTTTTTTAGGTATGCCAAAATGTGGTATAAAGGTGTTAGTTTCACTAGTGACCAATGCGCTTTGGTCTACCTAGTGGATTCTGCTGGTACCAGAACCACAACTGATACTTTTTCTGACTTATCTAGCGATTTTACATTGGGAGTGTTTTTGGAGTAAGATAAATTTGGATAAAAACTATGTTTTATATTACAACCTTAAAAATCATATTTTCAGTCATAAAAATTAAGTGCATTCAAAAATATTAGCTTTTCATAAATTATGTTTTTTTTTTATAAAAATTTTAATTTAGTGAAACTCCCTATATGGACGCCTCTGGCATGGCCCACGGCTCCCAATTGGTCAACGAGGCAGTTGGAATTTTGCAGGCGGCCTCCTATTGGGTAACCGACGATGGCACAGATAACTGGATTATAAATAACATTAGAATATCGCAGACATCTGATGGTCTTGTAAGGTAGGAAATATTTTTAAAAATCAATAATTTATTTTGTGATTTAATTTACGAGGGTTTTGGTTATTGGAGTATTTGTCAACATTTTAAATATTTTTTGTAGTATGAGTATAAGAGTCGTGTAACTGGCTCAGTTGCCACATCTCTCCCTAGACTCGCACTAGCCTCCGTTACCCTACGCCGATTTTTTTCCCGCCAACAGCAACTGCACGGCTTCACCCATGTTTGCTGGGTGCGAATGTCCACCGCGTCCGGTACTACACCATATTTAGGGCTCGAGAGCGACATGCGAATAGTTTTGCCGGGCTGTTGCTATACGCCCAGTAGGAACACAAGGAGGTGGGGACGGGGAGACAGACATTTTGGTGTTTAGGGGACAATTACGCCGACTCAAATCTGTGTACGACGCGGGAGCCCCCTAGACCGGAAAATTAGTATTACTCCAAACATTTGGTATTACCATTTGAAATTGGGGAATTCTTAGTTAGCTGTAGGCACCTATTTTCCTTGTCATAGGCTACAGCTTGACCGGCATCCTGTTTTCCCCCTGTTAGTGGTATTTAATTTACGACGTTGAAGACGTCCTAGGCGGCTAGTGTTGTTTCCACTCCTACACAAAAGCCGTTTTTGCCGTGGTCGTTTAAGTACGCATTGGTTTGTCCGTCTTTTTCTGTTATCTTAACGTAACGACTGTTTAGTTCGATTATTGCATTTTCCGCGTAGGGTCTATAAGTTCCTAGGTTCCTATTTTATGAATTTTGTGACTTACTTGGTAATTGATTTATTTGTCTTGCTCAGCTATAATCCCGTAAATGTCAGCGATAAGAGTTGGGACGGTTTCGTTTTGTTTTTTTGTATTGTTTTGTTACTATTGTCTAATTATTAATGTTGCTTTTGCTCTTTGTTTTACATTGTTTTTTTTACTAGGGTTGTGTTTAAGCGGAAAGAACCGCTCTTAGGGTTGTGTAGCTATCTGAACGGGGTTAATCTTGCAAATTTACGTATTAGGTCATGCGGCAGTCTAAAGTTTTTATAATTTTTTGCAGATGATGGCCCTTTCCACTCTTGGTTAGCCTCGTTTGTTCTTCACATAAAATTGTCAGGTCAGTCGTTTGCCAGCTATGCTGTCACTTATCACTTCTCACTTTATTACTTCCGTGACCTTACTTAGCCTTTAATTTAATCTAGATTATTTTGGGTTTTAAAACTTTGGTTTTGAGCGATACTACAATTTCTGGGTTTTTTATATTATTTTAAAACCAGCTTTGTTTTATTTTCACCATTTTATGGTTTTCACACAGGGTGACCCAAAAATGACATTTTTTTTTAAATTTCAATAATCCTGTAATTTTTACGTTTTTCCTGATTTATGATGATTTTTCAATATAAATATTTTGGTTTTGGTAAACTTTTTAATATTTTTTATAAATTCGTTATATTTTTAGGTTTTTTTTAAATTTTTTAAAAACTTTTATATGGTTTCTTACAGGGTGTCCCGAAAATGATAATAACTAATTTCTCCCAAATTTATAAGGATGTTTTTTTCAATACAATTTGGTTTTTTCGTCTAATATATTAAGTATATAAGTTTAGGGACACCTTGTATACAAGGTGTCCCTAAACTTATTGGCATAAATGTAGGAAAAGATTGAGCAAGTCAAAATAAGACGAAAACCCAAATAAATATTTTTCCTAATTACTTATGTTTTCCAAGATACAGGGTGATAAAGTGTTACTTATCATATAACCCCTACTATGGTAGTCTTGAAAAGGTGATATTTTGTGAACAGTCACTTACTACTAAAAGACATATTCACACATAATTACAATTGTTTGAGTGAACACATTGTCGTAGAAACGGGGGTTGCTTTAAGCTTATTGTGCCATACAAACTTTGAGGTTAGGTTTTTATAACATTTGATACAATTTTTCGATTACACAGTTCGGCTACCATTAAAAAGGTGTACCTCTCAAACTTCGATAAAATAAACCGTTTCCGAGATATTCGAGATTACAATAATTGTTTCTACGACACTGCGTTCACTCGAACAATTGTAATTATGTGTAAATATGTTTTTTGGTAGTAAGTGACTGTTCGCAAAATATCACCTTTCCAAGTCTACCATAGTGGAAGTTATACAGGGTTCCCCATAATAGGCTACCCATTTTAACATTTGAATTAAAAATGTTTTAGTTAACAAAACAAACTTTTTATTATACTAAATTACAGATAACTCTTTGGGATTTATGATAACTTATAAATATTTGGCTAATTTAATTTTAACTTTTAAAAATCACGTCTTCTAAATGACCTCCACCAACTTCAACACATTTTTCAATATTAGATAAAAAGTGGTAAAGTCGTAAACGCAGTTCTAACTCGTTCAATATTTTCTGGTGTACGAACTGTTCTTCGAACTGTTCTTCAAATTTTGTACAGAACCATTTTCACGCCAATGACGAACCCATAACTTAACAATTTTACGATTTGGCGCGTGACCCCTATTGTTGTTATTAAACTGACGCGGGAATTCACGCCTAACTTCTTCTATCGAATTGCTTCTTATGTAAGTTTCTACACAAAACCCACGTTGTTGGACTGAGTAATCCATAAAAGTTCAAACGGATGTTTAAATAATGTCTCAAAGCAAAAAAAATATTAAATAATTATTGATGAAAACTAACAAACTTCTCGTAGAAAAAATGACATTTCAGGAAATTATTAATTTAAAACTTATTTATGACAGGCGCCTACTTGATTAATAATTAACTTAAATCCCAAAGACTATAGAAGATATTCCCATAGAGAACAACTTATTAAGTTATCTCGTAGGGAATTTATTAATAAAATAAAATGGGTAGTCTATTATGGGGAACCCTGTATTAAAAAAACTGATATGATAAGTAAAACTTTATCACCCTGTATCTTTTAAACTTACCTAATTAGGAAAAATATTTATTTAGATTTTCGTCTTATTTTGACTTGCTTAATCTGCTCCTAAATTTATGCCACTAAGTTTAGGGACACCTTGTATATTTACATAGTAAAACATATTTTTAGTTCAGTTTGTTTTATTCATTTAAAAACTGAATTTTTAACATTTTCTAGAGGATCCTGAAAATTGCGCACTAATTATACAAATTAAATGATGGGACACTTTGTATAAAAATAATTTTTAACTCTTGTTTTTTGTACATATTTTTAATATTTTAATAATTTTTAATAACTATCAAAAATTCTGTGACTTTTACTTTTTAAATTTTACTTATTTGCAATATTTTGGGATATTATGTATGTAGATAATTTTTTTAAATTAAATCTGTTAAAAGTTGACAGATGTCAAATGTTTAACAAATAAAATTGGCTTTAAATTTTTCTTTGTGTTTGTAGTAGATAAAGTATAGTATGCAACTCGTTTTATAAACTTCTCTAGACACTCGTTTTTATTAAACACTCGCTCGCAAGCTTCGCTCTTGCCTTATAAAACTCGTAACTAAAATGGCGTTTATAAAACTTGATACATTATATACTATTAATAGTTTAAACGTTTATAAACGAGTTGCATACTATACTTTTTCTACGACAAATACTTATTATTATCTAAAAATGATTTAAATTAAGTATTTGAATAGAGCGCCATCTATAAAACAATAGGGGAATCTTCGTTACCGTCAAATGTCAAATTTGTATGTTATAAACATAAGATAATAAATCAAAATGTATCTCTTGAAAATGGATTAAACAACAGTTTTTCACAGTGAAAGTAAAGAAAATGTTTTATTACCACTTCACGGTGGAGTCCGAGCCCGACTTTAAGTTATATTTAGTTTACTGCCGGCGAAATTAAAAGGTCAGTACAATGTTCACATAAATTTTGCAAATGGAAACTATTTAATGCTTTCGTATTTTTGTATTACGATAATAATAGTAGATTATGTCATAAGGAGTAGAAGTGACTCTTTTTGTGGTGAGTATAGAGATTGACGGCCGAAGCGTAGCTGAGGCAGGCAACTGTACGAAGCACAAAAAGAGCTTCTACTTCAAATAACATACTATTTTTTTTCAAGGGCGTAATATAAATAGGATAAGCAATAGAATTATTTTATTTACTCATAACTCATGTGGGATAAAATTTTGGCTAAAAGCATTAGAAATTATTGATAAAAACTAAAAAAACTGCCGATAAATATCCGAAACTAAAAATAAACACTGTCAAAATGCTGCGCTTGAATTAATTTTGACGTACTGACATTTGTTTGGAGTTCCGACATTGGCGACTAGTCTATCATTATAATATTAAACTAATAAACTAATTGTTTTTTATTTCATTCAATTAAAATTTAATAAATAATCACTAAATATTCCGTGCGATTATAATTAATACATAGTGATTGCTTTGTATGAAATGCTAAATTAATTTTATTATTTGACGTCTATTGAGTCCCCTATGGATTTAGGTACTAAGAAGATTATATTCAGGAGCTTCAACTCCGCATGAGAATGGATAGAAAACGCGTCGTATCGTGTACAATGCGCACAAATAATTATTAATCAACCGCGCATAGACCGTCAACTCACGTGACAGACTGCACGTGCACTCATTGGTTGGAAGATTTACAGCAGAAATAAAGAAGGTTGATTGACAAGCTTTATTTTAATTTTAAATTTTTATTTGAGAAAATCACTAATTATGGGATGTTTGTACTGTGTTAAAAATTGTTTAATTTGTCAAGGGATAAAAAACCTACACATCAGTTATTTGAAATACCATCAGTAAGTTTATAACAAAACATTACAGTGTAATAATTACACCACAAAACTTGAAATTGTCTGATTTTACATTGCAAAATTTAGTCATTTTATATGTTACATTACATTACTGATGACCAAATTAACATCATTACATGCATGTTTACATGTAAACTGCAGTTTACGTTTTCTGCTACAACGACAGTAATACTGATTAGTTCATAAATTTACTCACTGTTTTAACAAACTGTTC